TTGTAAATATAACTAAATTGTAAATATAACTAAATTGTAAATATAACTAAATTGTAAATATAACTAAATTGTAAATATAACTAAATTGTAAATATAACTAAATTGTAAATATAACTAAATTGTAAATATAACTAAATTGTAAATAAAGTTTACATGGACAATATTACATGGGATTTAACAGGAAAGCATTATTATTATCTTCTTTTTTTAATAAGGTATGGCTTAGGGTAGATTATATAATAGTTTCTTTTGTTTCAAAAAAATTTTTTTTTTAAACTATGCAATATACTTAACCATATTTAGTAAGTATGAAAATTGTTATTGTTGGTTTCTATTTGGTTGAATTTCGATCAATTTATGCTATTGCAGCCACAGAGCCTAACCATAACGTGAGGTCCTTGTACTGCTATCGTAGTTGCAGTGCTTAATTACCAAAAATGAGGTTCTTGCACTGCCTGTAGTAGTCATAAAGCCTAAATGCAATATGAGACCCTTGCATTGCTATCACAGCCGCAGAGCCTAATCACAGTGCAAGGTTCGTGCACTGCTATCGTAGTTATGGTGCAAAGGGGTTTCGGGGAGACAGTTGTCAGAAGAGATTTTTAGAGTAATAGTACCGAACCCGAACATGTTCATGAACTTTTGAACTAAACCCGAACCAAACCCAGACTTGGTTTAAAAGTTCAATACCAAACTCAGACCAAACTGGATTTTTAAAATTAAGTCTGGTTCGGGTTCGGTTCGAATTTGGACCAAACTCGAACTTAACCCAAAGTTTAGTTCGGTTCGGTTTTTAGGAACACTAGCATGAAGTGGCGTAATGGGCTTGGGCTTGGGCTTAGATTAGAAAAGTTCTTTTTTTCTTTTGCCTCCCTCGCATGTAAAAAAAAAAAAAATAATTATTCATTGGGCTTGTTTTCGCCCACAAATAAAGAAGGGAGAGTGTGTGTTTATATTTTGAATAAGTCGTTTTCGTCTATACAGTATACCCGATTTGCCTTACCTTGCAAATCAAAACCGCCTCTACCCATTGGGTATATTGTTGGGTTGGTTGAGTTGTTTTGGTGGTGATTGGTTTGCTGTGTTGCTGCCCAATTGCCTCCGACACTGGATGTAAATCTCGATGTAAATATCTTTTAGAATGAATAAGATCAAGATTAGATATAATATCATGAAGTATTTTTAATTTGGCTTCCCATTTAAGTTTAGAAATATTAGCAAGATTTTTGCTTAATGAACCATATTTTGCATAACTAAGTACTAAAATATAATCGTCCCTTGAAAATTAAACCCAACGTTAGTAATTATAAATAAAAATGATAAACAGAGTTATGTGGTTATCTTTGGCTTTCACCTAAACTACGTGTATCAAGTTCCATACATAAGATCAAAAGATCATTTGACCCAGACAGATACTATCAAAGTTTCTGTCTAATGTTAAATACAATTTTAAACGTATAAGCTTTCTTTCCTTTTTATGTTTTATCATTAATCTTTTGAGGAACTTGTAAATTCGCTCATTATATACAAAAATATACGAAAAAATTTATATACTTTTGTATATATAATAATAAATAAAGTATTATACTTACTACCTAATGATATATAATATTTTAATAAATGTTAATAGGTATTAGAATATGAAATAAATAACATTTTTATTCTTAACCATATATTGACAATATATTATTTGTTGATATTTATAAAATCTTACCGATTTTATTCCTAAATATTGGTTTAAACTATGACAAGTTTTTAACTAAAAAAATAAAATAAATTATTTTATTTAAATAAAATAAATAAACATTTAATATTATTTTAAAAATACCTCTTTTAAAAATAGTTCTTTACTTTTATTAGAATCTTTTACAAGCTTAATTGCTAATTCTTCATATGACCTGTATTTGTTTAAATATTTTGTTTTAAAAACAGTAGAGAATGCTCCTTTACCTATCTCTTCAACATTTTTAAATTTTTTATATGGTATCCAATGAAAAAATTCTTGTTGTTTTCCACCCAAAGTATTTTGTTCAGTTATAGTTAATTTTAAATACCATTCAAAAACAATATCTTATTTCAATATGTTTTATGTAATTCGTTCAAATCCGTATAATACAGATTACAAAACCCGATTGGCTAATATAATAAATAGCCAATCAGATTTTAGATAGTTACCAGTTTTACCAGCAACTCTAGTACAAATAATGCGGATTACAAAATACAGATTTCGAATTTGATAAATAATAAAAAAAAATGTATTGAATGCTTAACCCGTATCAGGTATAAAATAAAGCAGAAAATGAAAATTTCAAGAGCATTATATAGATGATCGTGAAATGCTGTTGTATCTAAAGTAGCCACCCTATCTAAAGTAGCCCTGGGCTAGAACTACGATTTAGTGCATGCATGAA